CGGGGCCGGCGGGGGTGCCCCCGGCGCCGGCAGCTGGCCACTGCCAAGAGCCCAGCCGCAGGCTCGCAGCAGGCAGCACGCACGGAGGCAGCCGGGCCCCCGGGAGCTGCAGGCACCACTCGTCTGACAAGGGCTCTCGTCACCTGGTGAGGGCCTGTGGGAAAGGCCTGCAGATACGCCAGGGCTTCCTGCTCCTCTCCTGCCAGCTCCAAGCAGGACGGAGATCCTGGACCTGAGCATGGAAGAGAATGGGCAGAGCTGCAGGCGCTGGCAGGAGGCAGAAGAAAGGAGCTGTGCTACCTCTGCAGCAGCGGGCCCGCTTCCAGCATACAACGAGCCCCGGCTCGCACAGCAGCCCCTGGCAGAGGAGGGGCAGCGAATCTCCCGGCACCGCAGCACCGCTGCCTCCTGCGCTGCCTCTCCTGGCCTGCGCCTTGGCTCTGCCACTGGGCTGCCTCTGCTGCACTCCAACCAAGCACAGAGCAGGTCCAGGCATTCAGGCACTGCCTGCACGGGGCCAACAGCACCAGGATGCAGCTGTCGTGCGAGGCAGGGCTGCAGTAGGGCCGGCTCCTGGCAGGCGGTCCCACAGAGCCGCTCGCTCCAGCCCCAGCAAGCAGCTGGCAGCACCCAGCAGGCACCCCCATCCCACCACTGGTGCCCTGACTTGGCAGCCCCCTGGAAGGAGGCCCCCCCATGCCCACGGGGGCCTGCCCGGCCCTCTCTGCGCCTGGCTGCCTAAGTCCTGTGCTCGCCTGGCCAGCTTTGTCCCCTCCCACAGCCCCTCTGCCTGCTCCCTCACCACCAGCTTCTTCACCACCTCGCCTAAATCACATCCAATACCCATACACTGCATCATCCACCAACAAGCACTGTGTGGTAAATCACTGAAGCTGGACTCTGTCATGAAAATTGTAGTTTCTTGTGTTAACTTCATTAGAGCTCATGCACTAAACCACACTTAGTTTCAGGAATTTCTCTCTGAGCTAAATGTTGCCTATGAAGATATTCTGTACCACACAGAAGTCCGTTGGCTGAGTCGAGGGAGAGTTTTGAAACGATTTTATGACTTACTTCCAGAGGTTTATGATTTTATGCTTTCTAAAAACAGTACCACCAGAGCTCAAAGATGCAAAATGGAAATGGCACCTTGCGTTTCTGACAGATGTAACAGTGCGGAGAGAGCGGGGGAGGGGGAGAGAAGAAACTCCTGACTGAGGCCTACGTTGCCTCCGTGGGAGCCTGTATTTGATGACTCTCCGTGGAAGACTGTATTTAATGACTCTAATATGCGTGCTCACAATGTAGTTATTATTAGAGGCTATAATTTTGTGTATGTTACCCATGTTTAACGACAATCTGTGTGTGTGTTGCCATAATAGTGCCTTGCTACTGCATGAGGTAAGTGAGACACTACCTTGATGACCAGCTG